CCTGGCAGCGTCTGAAAGCAGAGGCGCTTTGGCACAAGGTTAGTCCCGTCCCCTTCCGCGGTGGCTCCACAGGGGTCCCAAGGGGGGCCCGCTGCACACGAGCTGGCACACACACAAGACACAGCTGTGACACCACCAAAAGGGGTGCACTGAGAACCCCCCACTCCCCCCCTGGCTCTGCCCCACTGCCAGGCGGAGAGAAGTGAAACAGGCCCCGGAATACCAGATTTTGGTCCCATGACCCAAGCAGTGCTGCAAAGCCCCCCTGAGAGCACCACTGGTGACAGGCACCAAGCAGGGAATGAGCTCCAGGACAGCCCCGTCCCTGATGGAGCTGGCCTTTGGGGGCAAGGAATTACCTAACCCCCTCATTCTTACACCATCATTAAGCTTCAGAGTGAACAGCACACAGCACAGGCAGGGTCACCACAGAGGCACAGAGGCCAGGCACCTCTGCACTGAGCCACACTGCTTTTGGGACATCTGGGAGTGGAAATGTGGGGGATGAAGAGGATTTCTTGAACGGGGGCACCAAGGGCGGGGGAAGCACACAAAGTCCTGCTCCCCTGGGGGCCCATGGAGGGACGCCCCATCCTGCAGTGGGCAGAGGGGCTGCAAGTGCTTCCCTGGGGATGGGACAGGGATGGGCCCTGGGGAAGGGGTACAAGGAAAGCCCCCCCCCTCACAGGGAGAAGGCCGGGGACCCACTCAGCCACAGCACCACGTTTCAGTTCAGCCCTGGGGTGCTCTGGGGTCCTTTTCCACCCTACACCCCTCTCCCTGTCTCCCCTTTGGCTCCATCCCTGCCCCCGGGAAGGTGATGCCAGGCTGTCACCCAGTCACCCCTGGTCAACATCCCTGGGTGACATGGCCTCAGCCGCTGCATTTCCAGTGTGCCCCGTCCTTGGCGTTGATGTGCCTGTCCCTCCTCACTGCCCCGTCACTCGGTGGCAGTGACCTCCTCCTACCCAGGAAAACTGAGGCACAGGGACACCCCAAGCAGCACCCCCTGCCCTGGGAGCCCCCACACCATGAGGATACCAGGGGACATGGGAACAGGCTCTGCCACCCACCCAACTTAACCTGCAACCTCTTCATCCCCCACAGCATCCAGCACAGTGGGTTTTGGACACCCTGTCCAAGGTACCCATCCCAGCTTTTGGGGGGCCAGCACCTCAACAGCCCAGACCCCCAGCCCCATGCAGCCCCTGGGGAGCTGCAGGGGCCCCCAGCGCTGGTGAGAACCTGGCGCCTTCAAAGCGCTGCCAAGCGCCAGCTCATTAATCCCCCAGTAATGACCTCGTTATTCCTAACGAGGCGGAGTGGATCAAGGGAGCTGAGGTAAGAGGATTTTGCAACAGGGGTTTCGGGGCTGGGGGAACACAGGTGGCAGAGGAGGGGAAGACAAAAGGGACGAGGACAGTCACCTCGTCCTGGGGGGCAAGCAGTGTGACCTCCCCCTCCATCCCACAGCTGGGGCTTCCCCATTTCAGCAGTGCTGCCCCACACCGGGTATCCAGCCTGATGCAGCAGCAGAGAAACCTTAGCAGCCTGCACCCCAAAAGAGCCTGGCCTGGCTGGCTGCACAGCCTCCCACCTGGGGCCAGGAGGCAGCAGAGAAGCAGGGAGCACCCTGTTAATTTGAGGGGAGAAGACAGCTGCATGAGCCCAACCCTTATAGAAGACACCAGAGAATCTTGGCAGAGAGCAAAGCACAGCCACCACTTCCACTGCACGCAGACCACTTTATTTGTCACAGCCAAACCAGCTCGCTCCCCTCCTCTCTGCCCCACAGGCGAGCCCCAGCCTCCCAGAACCCCCCATTTTGTGGGAAGAGCCCCCCCCATACCAGGCTTAGAGCCGGGGCCAGAGCCCCTCAGCGGGGAGGGTGCACAGCCCCTCGCGCAGCACCGCGGGGATGCGGCAGTGAGAGACAGAAGCAGAAAGAGCCAGGGGGCAGGGGACGCCCCCTGCACCCAAAGCCAGTCCCCTGGGAATGGGGAGAGCCAGTAGCGCTGCCCCCGCAAAGGGGTCCCCACACAGGACAGATGCCCACGGATGGACGGATGCCCGCGGATGGACAGACAGATGGGTTGAGCCCAGCGGCGCCTGCTCAGTCCCAGTGGACCTTGACAGGGGGGAAGGTCCAGAGGTCGGGGTGGCCCATGTGCAGCAGGGTGCTGCAGGGGGACGTGCTCCAGCGGAAGGGGGGCACGTCATCCCAGGTGGGACCGCTGACGGCCACCAGCCCAAAGGTGGGGGCCATGCCCCAGGAGGTGACCTGGTGTTGGGGGGGGAGGGTGGAGAAAAAACAGGGATGCAAGCCAACACAGGGACAAGGCAACACAGCCTGGGGGGAGCTGTCAGAGGGTTGTGCACTCCAAAGAGGGGACCTCCAGCTCCCCACCGCCCCCCCGGGGCTGCCCCATCTCCCCCACCTTCATGTCGGTGCCGCCATGGCAGCGCTGGCGCAGGGCTGTGAAGGGGTAGGGGCCGTTGGCGGGGTTGAGGTCAGAGCGGGCAGAGATGGCGTTCTCTGCATTCTGGGGGGGGTCGCAGCCCGTGCACCGTGATAGCGGGTCCCGTAGGTAGTTGTTGGACCTGCAAAGTGGCCAAGGGAGAGATTCGTGGCGAAGGTGGGGAAAAAAAATGTACATAAATTTATAAGGATGAAAAAAAATCACCCCCGAGGGTTGCAAATCCCTGGTGGGGGGGACACACACCCCCAGGTTTGGGGGGTCCCCAGCACCCACCTCATCAGGCGGACCATGGAGTCCAGGTCGTGGACCAGTGTCTGGTTCCGACGAAAGATCTGGGCGCGCGGGTTCTTGTCATAGGTGAACCAGTCACCGTATTTCTTCACCAGCTCCATGTTCCCACTGGCATTGAAGATCTCCTCGAAGTAGCTGGGGTGTGGGGGGGAACCCAGTGAGTCAGCACCCAAGGGTGGGGGGCAAGGCCAGTGTTGGCTGCCCCCCTTTATGGGGCATCAGTGGGGTGGGATGAGGCTGGACGGAGCTCACGGTAGGTTGTAGCTGGCCCAGTAGCCCTGCTGGTACAGCAGCTCCGTCTGATCAGCCGCCACCACCAGGCCCCTGAGCCGGGGGAAGAGCATCGGTCAGAGCAGACAGTGAAATCGAGTGGGGATGGGGGAACGTGCTGGGAAGCGGGGCAGCCCAGCTGGGAGTCCCTGCCGCTGGGTTCCCACCCCAGCTAGGGGTGTTGGGCACCCATCACCTGCATAGAAGCATCCTCAGAGAGCCTTTAGCTACAGACTGGCAGCGCAGGCAGCTCCTGCTTGCATTTGCACCCCCATCACCCAACTCCCACCTGCTGGGCTGGGGCAGATGGGACCCTTAGGGCTTTCCCAAATCCATGGGGATGGGGCTCCAGGAAGAAACACTTCCACCATGGCTCAGCGCAGGAACAGGGGCACTCACGGGATCTGCTCCAGCACGGTCAGCACGCCCGGCGGTGGGCTCTCTCTCCCTGGCACGAAGGCGTTATAGTCCACCACCATCCACTGGTTGTTGTACCTGGCACCAAGAAGGACGAAAGCATCCCTCCGGCAACCAGCCCCTCCTTGGGGACATCCCTGCTGCCTGGGGGGAGCATCCCTCCATCCAGTGCCCCCTTCCCCTGACAGCCAGCGGGGGTTCCCACGCCCCACCCTGCCCTGCTCACGTGCCGCTGTTGAACCGTCGGAAGACGGTGGGCA